GAATTTGGTTGAAGTGGAGAGGATTCAGTGCCAACACATTGGGGGAAGAAGACGGATCAGTCATCCATTATTGTTATAGGTGCATTAGAGTTGTAACTTGTGGTGTTCGAACAAGTTAAGCAAAATTTGACTGGAGTTCAATAACATTAATTACCAGAAAGCACAATTTCTAATCAGTGAGAGCAGCCAATCTGCTGCACTTACTAAAATAGTTTTCAAAGAAAAAGCTCAGTCAGTCAAAGAAATCATGTAGCACATGCTTTTACAACACTAAATGTGTCTCTGCATCATATAATCCTTCAGTGAGACTTTTTCTTGGTATTTTTGGTCACAGTTATACATCTTCAAGGGACTTTTTGTTGAAGGGGGAAAAAAAGCCCCATACTCTGGCAGAAGACCTGAGGCTGTTTGCACTGCTTTGTAAACGTCTGTAATATATTTCTTGATTTACAGAATACAGCGTTCGAAGAAACTGCATTCAGCCACATGATAAAGCATATTTTTAGCTCTGTAATATTTGAGCAGTGTCATGCAGGTCATTCATAAGGAAATGCTAATGTCCCCATCACATGCAGGAGTGGATCTGATAAGGAACAATCGGATAAAAACAACATGCAAAAAAGCAAAATAAAATAAATAGAAATGTAAATACAAGTGAACAAAGTTAAATAATCATATACAGAAAAAAATGTGACCTTCCTGGAATAGACCTCGAATCGATATGCTTGCTTCTTTGTACTCATATTTACCTGCATGCATGCTGGGACATGTGCAAGGAGGGAAAAAATAACCCAAAAAACAAATACAATCAATCATTATTTAAATTGGCAGAATTTTAGATTTAGTCACCAATGCAAGCCGACAAAGGTGATGTCTGTTCTACAAAACCATATACTTTAATTGGGATGTCGAATGACTCAATGGGCTGCTGTTTATTTTTTATGCAGTACACCACCATCAAAGGGACAAAAAAGAACAGAGATTTTATTTATTGCACTGTCATTTCTCCACATTGGTATTGCCAAGGACAGTCTGTTTCCTCTTCCTGATTACCGTGTACAAAAAACTAAACCACGGGATGAGGTTTTGCATTTTGGTGTATTTTCCCAGTAGAAAGCCGCTTCATTGACGTTTCAATTATCCTGTATTCTGTGATATTTTTGTCGCTTTTTGTATCTGATCTACATCAGTTCATGGTGAACTTGTTTTCAAACACAAAAATAAAATAACTAATTAATAAGTGCTGCACTTTAATGCAGCCAGGCTCTCAGGTAATCTGTATTGCTCTTGAGTAGCTACTCTTGCTATTCCCTGCTGTAATCCCTGCTGCACGTATTGGCTTGATTTACTGTTCTGTTTTGCATTTGCCTGAGACCAGGTTTGAAAGGAAATGAGTTGACAGTTCTGTCTAATATCAATCTATTCTGTCTTTTTTGGGGGAAATAACTTCTTTAAATGTGCATGTTTCACCTGTTCTTTCACTTATTTTAATTTATATACACCTTGAACTTACATAAAGAATGTGTTTGTTGATAATGATATTGATTTTTCTCTACAGTAATTTTTAATATTTATTTGAGAACACTGTACAAATAATGGCCATAAAACAAAATAATTGACTACAAACTAAACAAGACTTCTGCCTGTCTCTGAAACCTTTTGCACATTCAGAACACGACTGTAGAGAATCCTGTACACTTAAACTATGTTATCAAGCCTGACTGAAAACCAGCACATCTGCAACATTTCCTTATGATTGCAAGCAAAAAGCCGCTTTAGGCATGGATAAAAAGGCTGTATGAATGTGTTTGTGATTGGGTGAATGAGATGTGTGTGTGTGTGTGTGTGTGTGTGTGTGTGTGTGTGTGTGTGTGTGTGTGTGTGTGTGTGTGTGAAGGATGGTTAAGGACGATAAAGTGTACCAGTACAGATTTAGTCATAGTATAAACTCATAGTTTGTTTTCATATTTATTCTGGATTAGAAATGACCAGTGGTTGAAGAGTAAAGCCTTTTTCTGTTGGAGGGATTCCTCACTGTATTAAAAGCTGTGTTCTAAATATTGATCGTCATGACTTAAAGCACAACATTTAATTTCTTGATTGAACTTCAATATCAGTTAAGCTCTAACCATTTCATTGTAATTACTAACAGCATACAGTGGGGCAAAAAAGTATTTAGTCAGCCACCGATTGTGCAAGTTCCCCCACCTAAAATGATGACAGAGGTCAGTAATTTGCACCAGAGGTACACTTCAACTGTGAGAGACAGAATGTGAAAAAAAAATCCATGAATCCACATGGTAGGATTTGTAAAGAATTTATTCGTAAATCAGGGTGGAAAATAAGTATTTGGTCAATAACAAAAATACAACTCAATACTTTGTAACATAACCTTTGTTGGCAATAACAGGGGTCAAACGTTTACTATAGGTCTTTACCAGGTTTGCACACACAGTAGCTGGTATTTTGGCCCATTCCTCCATGCAGATCTTCTCGAGAGCAGTGATGTTTTGGGGCTGTCGCCGAGCAACACGGACTTTCAACTCCCGCCACAGATTTTCTATGGGGTTGAGGTCTGGAGACTGGCTAGGCCACTCCAGGACTTTCAAATGCTTCTTACGGAGCCACTCCTAGGTTGCCCGGGCGGTGTGTTTTGGATCATTGTCATGTTGGAAGACCCAGCCTCGTTTCATCTTCAAAGTTCTCACTGATGGAAGGAGGTTTTGGCTCAAAATCTCACGATACATGGCCCCATTCATTCTGTCCTTAACACGGATCAGTCATCCTGTCCCCTTGGCAGAAAAACAGCCCCATAGCATGATGTTTCCACCCCCATGCTTCACAGTAGGTATGGTGTTCTTGGGATGCAACTCAGTATTCTTCTTCCTCCAAACACGACGAGTTGAGTTTATACCAAAAAGTTCTACTTTGGTTTCATCTGACCACATGACATTCTCCCAATCCTCTGCTGTATCATCCATGTGCTCTCTGGCAAACTTCAGACGGGCCTGGACATGCACTGGCTTCAGCAGCGGAACACGTCTGGCACTGCGGGATTTGATTCCCTGCCGTTGTAGTGTGTTACTGATGGTGACCTTTGTTACTTTGGTCCCAGCTCTCTGCAGGTCATTCACCAGGTCCCCCCGTGTGGTTCTGGGATCTTTGCTCACCGTTCTCATGATCATTTTGACCCCACGGGATGAGATCTTGCGTGGAGCCCCAGATCGAGGGAGATTATCAGTGGTCTTGTATGTCTTCCATTTTCTGATGATTGCTCCCACAGTTGATTTTTTCACACCAAGCTGCTTGCCTATTGTAGATTCACTCTTCCCAGTCTGGTGCAGGTCTACAATACTTTTCCTGGTGTCCTTCGAAAGCTCTTTGGTCTTTGGAGTCTGGCGGAGTTTGGAGTCTGACTGTTTGAGGCTGTGGACAGGTGTCTTTTATACAGATGATGAGTTCAAACAGGTGCCATTCATACAGGTAACGAGTGGGGGACAGAAAAGCTTCTTACAGAAGACGTTACAGGTCTGTGAGAGCCAGAGATTTTCCTTGTTTGAGGTGACCAAATACTTATTTTCCACCCTAATTTACGAATAAATTCTTTACAAATCCTACCATGTGAATTCATGGATTTTTTTTTCACATTCTGTCTCTCACAGTTGAAGTGTACCTCTGGTGCAAATTACTGACCTCTGTCATCATTTTAAGTGGGGAACTTGCACAATCGGTGGCTGACTAAATACTTTAAACTTTGGATGCTTATCTGTATTTTGTGTCAGGATGGATGACAACCCCCAGTCACTGTGCCTAAAACAGCATGACCGCAGTTTCAAGCAATGTGTGCATGGCATCACATGAGAAGCTTGAATAAATTCCACAGACATCCAAATCCTTAACCACTTAATCATATCAGCGTTGTGGTTAGGGCTGCAGGCGAGCTCAGTGGTCCTAAAGGTACCCCACTGGACTGACCATCTCAGGTCCTTTAATGCATATTTTTACTGCAAAAAAATTATTTTTTTTAAAAATTCCTCCATGTTATTTCTTTTGTTACTTTTCTTAATGTGTACATTCTGTATTGGTTTTTAGTTTTGTACATTGTGTACTGGCTTTTGAAAAAGTTTGTTGATCTTGTTTTTGAAAAGTCCCATATGAATAAATATGGTCTGCTTGCTTCCATCTGTAGGTACTGTTTCAAAAGAAGATCAGTTTCTTTGTTTTCAAACAAGAACGGCTTCTGTAGGAGGTACCAATCAAATCACGTCTCTATATAAACCCATGTAATTATCGCTGCCTTCATGTCTTGAAGCATTTCCATGGGTAGCAACACTTCTCTCAGCTATTTTTGCAATCTAAAGTGGAAAAGCAATAAATTAACAGAAAATGGAAAATCCTAAAGTATAAAACAACTTGTACAATATATGCAGTAGATTAAAAGATTGAACCTCAAGTTAGACAAATCGCAGATCAAACTAAAAGCCCACAGAAACATGCATTTAGTATTTTGTTTGCTTCTTTTGCTTCAGTAACATAGCTGCAGTGCAGGTCTGTTCCTACAGGAGAGAGGAGGTGTATGTGCACTGATTTGGACTCTAAACCCCCTCCCAGAAGGATACAGTAACCCAACAACAGCACTAAAAATCATTCAGAAGTTGCATTGAAATATCAACTTCATTTCATTATCACAGCACTGCTGACCTACATCAAGTCACATCTACAGTAAGCACTGAAAGATGGAGCTTCTCACATACACGATCTTCATCAGCATGTGGGAAGCTCAGTGCTGCTGGCTGCTGCTGCCACCAGCCCGCTGTGAGCGAGAGCAGGCTGGAAATCGCTGAAAGTGGCTGCGTGTCGTGTCAACACTGTCAGAGCTAAAGAGGGAGTTCCTTATCCCTCCTCTCTCTCCCTCGCTCTCTCTTCCTTCCCCTCTCTCTCTCTTCTTCTCCTTCTCTCTTTCTCTCTCGCCCGCTCCCTCTCTCTCACAGCTCAGCATCTCCACTCTCACGTTGCGTAAACCCACCGATCTGATGCTCCACAGAGGCACCATCCAGTCCATCTGAGGTGGAAAAGATTTGAATCACAGATACCGCTAGAGGTGAGTCATTTTTGAATCTCTGTCTTCCCCACTTTTTATGTATTTCCAGCACAGCTCAAAAGGCATCCTGTGTTTTAATTATCTCTTTTATCAAAGCCAACGCAGATACATAATTAGATGATATTACGGGATGACCAGAACCTATGATTTTATCACTGTCACTAATTTATTATTATTATTATTATTGTTATCCTCTCAGATATCTGTATGATGTTTGTGTGAAATCTGTGTTACAAAGTGAAGTGAATCTACTGAAAATCAGTGTAGATGTTGCAGCAGCATGATAAACGTCATATTTGGACAAGATTTATTTGTTTATTTCTTTATTGTCAGACTTGACCAGCAGCTTCATCCAAATCCATAAATCGCACTGCATTATATTCTAAACTTGTACGTCATCAGCAAGTCTGCAGCCCCCTAGTACACACTTTGCTGATTTTAAACTCTGCAGCTCAGTAAACACACTGTACAGCAAAGTTGTCACATAAGCTTCTGCCTCAAAGCTGTGCAGCGACACCTGCACTCAGTCATGAAAGAAGCTGGCAGGAATTTTATCCTGCATTAACTTTGTCTGTGGGAACTGAAGCTGGGTGGTAATATGCATCGATTTCTTTTGCTTTTGTTATGATTTGTGCAGGAAATGAAATGTGCAGCATTGATTCTACACCAGTGTTAGAGCCTGAGTCAGATAAGGTCTCTCTTTATGCTGCTGGAACTACTTCCTATGGAAACACAAAGCCAGATGCTGCTTAGTCCAATGGCACACTGCCAGATGTTCAGTTGCTGCAACGCTTAAGTTCCTGCATCCATGCATTGATCACAGTGTCACATAACTCGCTGCCAGGAAAAGCTGTAAGGAAGTTTCATTTCAGCATGCTGCTGCCCAGCTGCTGGCAGTTTATGTGTGTGTTATGTCAGCCTTGTGTGTCACTTAATTAGAGCAGAAAAAAGCAACACTCAGTAAAAGCTGATTCATTAAAATTAAGAAAACATGACAGATTTCCACCTTCATTTTGAAAGAGATGTCCTGATTTCTTTGGTCTAATTGTCACTGTAATAACTGTCTGGAAGAAATATGATTTTCTCACTGAGCTTAGTCACCACAGGGGTAAAGCAGCGTCTCTCTGTGTGAGACGACGAGCTGCCTTTTCATTGACTGACCCAGCTGCAGCTTCTGATAAATACATCTCCTGCTGGGGGAACAAAAACACGCGTCCGTGCACAACTATTATTTGGTTTGCATTATGCCCCGTTCATCTCTTCTACATGGGTTTCTTTGGCATCTGTGAATCTATGACGAGTAACTGCGTTGAAGCTCATGTAACTAGGGACTCAAAAGCCTCCGCTGGCTTTGACAGAACACGCTGGCAAATAGCCGCGTGGTTATTACTTGTACGAAGACACAGATAGCCCTTTCAGGCAGGGCTGAGTGATTCAGTTTGATGATTTACAGAATTTAATTTATTTAAATTACTTATCCATCAAAGATTGTGATGGGCCGTTCACGTCAAGGTTTCGTTAGAAGTCTCAGGTCTGCTGTCTGCCAATAGAGGGGATTCATGCATTAATGTGATAAAGTACGTTAGTTTGTTAGGAATTATTAGCCATAACCAAATAGTCTGTAAAACATTTCCCAGCTGTAAGCAAATATAGTCCAATGGTATAAAAGTCTATATCTCTATATAGTTACTGTGCAGCTTCAGTCACCGGTAGAAATTATTTTTGTAGTCACTGCCAGATTTCTTGTGTTGCTATATTCATTTAAATATATAGCAACAAATATAGCTATTATGTTACTGATAAGTTCCTCTTTCAGTAGAACTGAGGACTGTATTATACAAATGAACAGAATTTATAGACATCTTGTTGGCTGTAAATATGTAAAGGTAAATAGAAATTTTTATTTTCCAGAGTTTCATGTGCTTGAAGGATTTTTCAAAAACATTTCTCTAAAGATCAGAAACATCTGTACTTTATGGAATTAAATAATTATTTTATGCCTTTCATTTAATGCTGTGACTGTCCTTTTCAGCCGTGGCCATTAGTAGTGTTTACACGATGCTGACAGGTTTTTAAGCACTGGGAAAAGAAAATGTAAAATAAGGCAGAAATGAGCCCAGAAAAGGAGGCTGGAGGAAGAGGTAACCCAGCAATTTCCTCAGCAGCCTGTCTCTGTATTTCACCGTGCCGCACCCCTGTCAAAAAGACTGAGCGTGATCCTATCAGTCATGATAAAAAGGTTTCATGTACGTTGAGTCTTTGCTAAAGTCTACTGTGTAGTATCAAGGACACAATGCAAAGTCATAACAGTATTGATATGTGGTATAACAGATATTCTAGTCAGCTATCTTGACACATAATTTAAATAATCTTTTAAGTGTTTCTTTTGCTGCTCACAAGTAGTTAATTAGCAAAAGATTTGAAGCAGTTACAAGGCAGGCAGGGTTAGGGTATTGCTTGAATGGTGATGGTGCTGTTATTTTTGGGGGATTTGTCTGAGAGGGAAAAAAGAAAAAGAAACTAACAGTATGTTTGTGATAATGTAGCCATGGAAACCTTTGAAGAGGCTCCTGACCATAGTGAATTTGCTATCATCCACCCCACTGCGATTGGACACGGTCACATCATGAGATCAGATGCAGATTGAGATTGTCAGTGTTTTGCTCGGTTAGTCGGGGATCAGAGCGAGAGGAGCTCCACCGCCGGCGGCATCTCGGGCTCTGTTTCACCGTGAGCTGTCTGAGCCCCGTGTTCTGCCTGACGGTCCTTTCAGTCAACATAGCAATCAGACAGCCTGAAATTTGACACGTTCATATACATGTTGCATATACCATAAGGGAAAAGACTCTGTACCTTATAATGATTAAGGTACAGAAAATAAAAGCACATATTCTTGATATTTTTACTTAAAGGAAACATGAAGCTTCATTTGTATTACTCACATGCTCATAATTGTGTTTTTGAGCAAGGCCAGACAGGCATTGAGCAAAAGCAGCAATAAAACAGTGTGGAGGAAAAACATGCGCCTCTACTGATTGTTTCTTTAACACTGACAAATACAAAACAAGGCGTGTGTTAAAATTCAGCCCGCACGGCGCATATATGCATATGAAATGAAATCCACATTGTACAGCTTTAAGTGCACCAAACGCTCATTAACTAAATCTATAAAAAACATTATGTGATGTTGTAATTGTGCTTGCGTGGTATGGACAGTGGTTTCCTGCTTCATGGCATATGAGTCATACTTATGATCTTTCTTCAGGCTGCTCCCTTATTCACACGAGGCCACCACAGCAGGTAGCTCCACATATTTGAACAGGCACATTTTTATGCCAGATGCCCTTCCTGACACAACCTCAAAGGAATTTGTGTGTCCTCCCAAGATCAAATCACTGAGCTTTTGCTTGTCCTGTGTCATGTCAGAGCTATCAAGCTAATAAGCCACTTTAAACATTTGCTTTCTTGATCATAAAGTACATTTTTAGAGCATTGACAGCGGGGACAAAAACCAAGCAAACAGGGATGTCTCATGTAAGGCCAAGCATTGAAATATAATAGGAACACTGCTGCTTAGATACTGATGTGCGAAATGAATTTGCTGGCCTGGAGTTTGTTTAGGTGTTTACTTATTATCACAATTAATCAGAATTTTAAAAAAGTAAAACAATGAAAAGCAATTCTCCATTAAGCAGAAGTGTATCAAGTGAGACTCCCAATTAGCCGAACCTGATTGACCATTTACCTTGGACAAGACTAACCTCAAAAATTCTGACACAATATCATCAATCAAAAGCTTTCAAAACACTCCCTCTAAAAGGAAAAACTGGCAAATTGTTGGAAATTGGAAAAGGGAAAAACAAGAACTACGTCGCAGATGCTGAGACGAACACACAGAGCGCCTAACAGAAAAACAGTTACAGGATGAGGAGCTCTGAAAGCTGAATCCTTGTGCTTTTGTTATTAAAATGTGTGTACTAAAGGTATTCACAGCCAAATATACTTGGCCGATAAAAAGAAACGAATAATTATTTTTATTTTAAAGGACTTTTGAAAAAATTGTTAGAAAAACTGAAAATATCAATAAATACACACACACTGACAGCCAAGTGAATGATTTAGGTGCAACCATCTTTCTTATGTCACCTAAATCACACCTACAGGAATGAACCAACAGGCCTTGTTGATTCGTTCCTTTGAGGACACTGATTGGTCCAATGTGACTGAAATATGGAAAAATGGATGTGACGGTAAGCTCACAAGAATCTAGCTGCCTTGAATGCTCAGACACTTAAATTTTTTCTATTCTAAAAGTCAGCATGGGTGGATCTTTAAAGGTTACATGCACAATGCATGCATTTTGACGAATATGCCAAATGATGAAAATGGTGTCCCCATCTTCTTGGTTGCTAAGGTGAATATGGCACTCGTCGATCTCACCGATATTTATGACTTTGTTTGCTGCACAAACTGCTATAATCTTTCTGGTCATTTCTTCATATAAGTCAGGGTAACATTTATTTATTTATTTTGCTTCAACCATATTTTTCACGCCTTTCCTCTCCGTGTGTCTTGGGAGAAGATGAAATGCCAGCAACCTCTGCAAACGTTGGAGAGTCACAGGTGTTTGTGCGTCTGTCATTACCGCATGCATGTGATTAGATTTAATTACATTTGTGCCAGTGCGTATAATTGTTGTTGTCTTGCTCTTTGAAAGGATAACGTTAGGTACCTGAAAGTACATAAGCTGCCACTTGAAGACGGTTGTTTTGTATTTTGATGTTATCTCCCAGATGAATACTGAAATAATTTTCTTACCAAACTATACAACAGGGGTTTAGTAGCTGTTCTTTGTATTTCGCTTTTGGCATTCAGTTCACAATAATAATAAATCTGTTAGCTGTAATATTCATTCATTTGCGGTTATTTATGGATTTTTGCTCTGGTTATCAGGTATATTTGGAAATTTGTATGTTTTTCCATGATTATATGATCCTTTT